TGCCTCGCACAGACGCCTTTGAACGATCTGTCCTCAGCGGTATTTTCCAACACCTACTAAGAGGCCATCGAGATGCGAGCGTTCTTTCTCAAAGATCAGCAACGCATCTACAATACCTATGGTATTGCAAATGTCTATGGCTGTCGACAATCACCTCTGTGCCCGCTACTCTTGTACCTCTTTTCTTACGAAAAAACATAAACAATTTACAATTTAAATAAAACATTACGGAAGTTGTAATTAATGTGATTCGCTTTAAATAAAGTGATTATAATCCTAGTAAAATCTCTGGAATTCATGTTTTTAAAACGGGCATAGATTAAAAATTGTTTCGCCTAAAAAAAGTTTCTCACGTGTGTCGTGTGACAACACAAAAATCCGAATCATTGCCATATGTCCAACCATTACTCATCTCGTTTCTTTCTAAGCATTAAAAAAACACGTCGCTCACTAAAATGCATTCGGGAATACTAAATTAACCTCTAACTTTCCATTTCGAATCGAAATGACACATTTTAGTTGAAGAAAAAAATATAACCCATTCGTAGACATGTGCGCTGAAAAAAAAACTTAAGATTTTTTTTTAATATATAGAAGAGTTCAGTAACCAGATCAGGATTAAGAATACAGTTATTTTCGACGTTTTTTGTCGCTTCAGTGGTTTTGTAGCCGCGACTGCTATTATAATAAAGAGCCACATGTCAGTCGAGAAGAGAGATGTGCATGATGTCGATGAATCGATATCGATAAAACTTTGATTCTCAGATGTGCAAGTTTGTCTTTTGTTGTCATTACAGACATATTTGGATTGAATTGTATGTAATTTAATGGTAATCCATGAGTCTTTTGTACATTTAAAGCAACGTAATTTACAGTTATAAAAGTGCAAATATTTTTTTTAGATGTTACAATACTTTTTGTAATTACTCGCTATTAAATTCATGGTTTTTATGTACCAATATCACGTATTAAAAATAACACTGAATCTAAGTTAGTAATAGAGTTGTGTTATTAATAATAATTTATTAATTATCGATATATTTGTCACTGGTACGACATAATGCACTTGTTTTACGTAATAAATCATGCACGCGGCGGCGTATCGATGAAATTACACGATGCATTTATAATAATAACATAACCTCGTCTTATTTTAACCGTTGCTTTATTGAACACAAGTTAGTGACTGAGCTGTTTTAGTGAACAATCTGGCAGATAGAAGTACTTTTGAAATCATCGTAGTTACGAATTATTGATGAACTTTGCCGTTTTCGTTATCATTCGTTTTGATTTTTTATTTACTAGCAGTAGTTTTTCTTGTCGTAGTTAATTGGTCAAATTCTTACATTAATAAAATAAGATCTAGTATTATAACAAACGAGCTAGCGGCCACCTGAATCCACCGAAATGGAAAGCGACCGCTGCCCAAAACATACGCAATTGTAGATGCTACCCTTAATTGACTGAGAGAGACGCATATAAAGACGACATGTCCCCTTCCTATGCGTCTCCTCCACCGTCAAATCCACTTTTACTTTCCTTCCTTTCCTCTAAAGAAAGGGGTGGAAAGGGAAAGGGACTAAAATTAGGCCTCCGGCACCATACTCATCAGACTGTAGGCGGAATTGCCTTCACTTCACGCCTGTTTTCTGTATGGTCGTGGTACACCGGTAGAGCCGTCCCATTCGTCCGAAGATGTTAAAGCGGGCTCTACTGCTGTTAAACTGGCACACAAGATATATGTATGAGATAGGGGACTACCTTTTACCCGCGCGCGAGTAAGAAAACTAAGTAAGAGTGGGCGCACACTTTTGAGTATCGCAAAAGTGTGCGATTGTCGATTGTTTCTCAGCCAATTCAACTGTTTTTCACAACTAAAAATGTAGTAGTCTGCGCACCATAGAAGCTCATAGGAATCAAAGCGTGACTAAACAGTTGTGCGATAGTTTAGTTTCAAGTGTGCGCACACTCTTTGTAGCCTTTGTCATCAGGATAAAATTTTTCTATTCATTCTATTCCACCAGTGTCAAATTTCATCGAAATCTTTTAAGCTGTTTTGAAAATACATAGCTAGAAACGGTCATCTATAATTTCACATTTATTGTTATTAGCTTTCGCCAGCAACTCCGTCCGCGAGGAATTAAAAAAAAAAACAAAAACATGTCTATGTGTACTTCCAGACTATCCTCTACAACATGACAATCATCGAGATCCGTTCAGCAGTTATAAATTCTAACAAACAACCGTCTAAACTTTCGCATTTATAATATTAGTAAGATGTATACTGTCATCTTATATATGATTAATAAAATGTTCAGATGTCATTCAGCGGATATGAGTGTATCGGAGTTGTTTTTTTAATAGTGATGTGTCGGAACATGATCTCTGGTTAGCAAATGTGAGTCGAAATGAATCATACGAAACGATATCGTTTGAAAATACATTTTTTTTTCTGCTAAAAGGTATTTTTCTATTATTCTTGTTACAAATCGAATGGCATTAGTTATTTTTTAGTCGCCCGGGGCTTCGTCCTCACGAAATAAAAAATAACTAAACAAATATGAAGTACTAGCAATCGCCCGCGACTCTGTCCGCGTGAAATTATAAAAAAAGTGAGTAGCCTATGTTTTTTTAGACTATCCTCTACAGCTATACTAAATTTAATTGAAATCCGTTCAGCCGTTTAGGCTACAAACTCTAACAAACATCCATTCATCTAAACTTTTACATTTATAATGTTTGTATTATTGTGATGATTGCTTACCTAAAAGTTCATGTTTTTTTGTCAATTTGCAAGTTTTAAGCTATACGCTTTTTACAATGCTTAAATAACTAACTTACTTACCTTTTATTTCAAAAATATAGTTATTAAGGATTCGAATAACAAAGTGCTGGAGAATTTTCAGCAAAATCATCATCATCATCACCAGCTCACTATACGTCCCCATCGAGGGGCTCGGAGCCTACCCTAAGTAAGTGACTAGGCCATAGTCAACCTGCACTGCGGCTTGACTTCACACATAACTTTGAATTTCTTCACCGATATGTGCAGGTTGCATCACGATGTTTTCCTTCACCGTAAGAACGTCGGGTAAATTATGTACATGTGAAATTTCGAACCGAAAATCACATTGGTACAGCGGGATTCGAACCCAAGACCTGTAGATTACAAGTCAGGTGTTTAAACCACTGAGCCGATAATGTCGCTTATATGGTTCGGTAAAATGGTATTAAATAAAACACATGTATAATCGTATTTGGTTTAATACAACACTAATTAAGTATATAATTTACATTGAATAAACGGTCCCACGTTGGCGGCCATTGTGGGACAGAGAGGGGACACCGTGCGGTCTCACTCTCACTGGATCAGATGGTTTTATTGTAAAATTGTCTTAAAGAGTGTAACTCATAAAATTATTACAATAACAAATAAATCAATTCCAGACATTTCCAACTGTATGTTAGTCAGTTGTACTTACGGAACAAGAGAATTTGATGTACATTTTTCAAAAAAATATTAACAAATTGCAAAAAAAAACAATTTAGATATTTGAAAAAACAATTCTGTTATTTATAGAACAATTAGAGTTAAAATACAAAGTTTTGACAGCTGTCAAATTACAATACAGATAAAAAAATAACAAAAAAACAGTGTTAAAACCGTTGAAATGCCTCATATTGGTTTTTAGTTAATGAAAAATAAAAATTAACGTATACAACTGAATGAATCGGAACATCACTATAAGAGCGCAACTTTAACTAAACTATCGCATAACGGTTGTGCGATCGTCGATTGTTTAGCATTCAACTGTTTAGTTGCACAACTCAAAATCGAGTAGTAACCTCATAAGCTTATAGGAATCAAAGCGAGACAACAGTCGTGCGATAGTTTAGGGTTCACGCTCTAAGTATTGTTGTTTGTCAGCAAACAACTTATAACTTAAAGTAAGTCTTCATCATAAAAAGGGCAAAATATCGATAATAATACTAACATGTATACAACTTTTGTATTCTTAAACTTATAGAAAAAAATATAAAAAAATATCGTAACAAAAAATATGTTTCAATTTATTAACAAACAAAAATGAATTGTGAAAAACTTAAAAAATACAACTGTCAATTTAACACGGAAAAGAAAAAATAAAAAACATAACCAGCCAGATTTTTTGTTTAGTAGTCTTTGATTAAATGCATTTTGGTTACAGCGAGAAGTTTTTTTTTTCTAATATTTTAATATTTTACTATACATAGATATTGTGATATGATAGTTTCACCCTCTTATTTACCTCGACAAGACTGAAACCTGTCAACTATATAAATGCGTAAATACCTACAAATGCAATGGAGTCACAGCGGGGAAAAAAATCGAAAATCGAGTACATAAAGTGAAAATTTTACTACTACGTTTTTTTTTCATCTAAATTTCCTACATGAACGATTTAATATTTAAAGTTAAGAGCCTACCGAATTCTTAAAAATCAATTTACAAGTAATATTTACAATTAACCTATAATGTAAAAATCCAAAAAAAAAAATATAATTAAAATAATTCAATAAACAATTCCATGGAATCACAATAAAGAAGCAAAATATGGTACCATTCTTGTCTATGGCACACGGGGTAAACACAAAATGAATTTATTCTCAGATCTTTCATTACGTCACACTAATAGGGTTGCCACTACACGATATTGAATTATAAAAGTGTACAAAAATACACTTTAACTGTAGAGTTAATTCAACCCTTAAGCCTTAAGTTTCAAAGTTACCGGTGTTAAATTTTATTAGGCGGTTTACCTTTGACTGATAATCTTCAATTTAGAAAACAAAAAGGAGCATGTCACGAAAATATATAAAAAACATCGTTTTGATTTTTTTACTATTTTTCCCCTTTAGTAAAAAAAACACAGTAAAGGCTACACTTATTAATTTTTTAATTAGATTTAAAAAATCAGGCTTTTAAGGGTTAATTGAAAAAATGGAAAAAAAATGCGTTGAAATTTTTTTAGACTTTATGGTTGTTAAATATAATGGCAACCCTATTTTGTGAGCTGCACAGATGTGGATTGTTGAGATCTATTATCTATGTTTAAAATTTGTAAAATAAGTAACCACAAATTGTGTGAACAAACACAACGCTATGCGTATCAACTTATGTACCATACTGTAAACAAATACACCTACTTATTGTTCTTATTTTATACAAATGATTAAATATTTACTTTCTAAATATTGATATGGACCTTTAAAGGTCGAAGGACTGACCCTTCCTACTATCTAACAATTCGAAACTCTCCCTAAACTTAAACAAGTAAACGAAATGATTAACATACAAGCTATAATACTTGAAAATGTCCCGTTAAACCGGGTTTAACATAACTAGGGTACTACATTCGTCTAATCGTAACATTCCTCCTGAACACATGACCTATACCAAATTCTACACCCGTAGAAGTATTACATACTGTGATTATAGAAAGCTATTTCTACGCGGAAAGGAGTTTATAAACTAGCTAATTGCGTATTGCTTTTTAAGGTCTTTGATTTCGTTGTTAGAGAGCACTCGAATATGAAAATTACTCAGATCTCTGTTCGTTTAGTGACAAATTCTCAGCTTCGTCTTTAACGTGGGACATAGACGGTCTGTATCTGTCGTCAGAACGAGTATAGTCTTCATATGGGCTAGGATCATTGCGATTGCTTGAAGAATCTTTATGATTAGTGTAATCTGTGGAGCAATGTTTTTTTTTTAATTTTGTGAAGTGTACACCTGAAAATGCTAGAGATGTCCGCAATTGGAGTTACCTATGTTTAAGGGTAGAAACACACAGAAAGAAGATATTTCCCTCTATTTTCTTTTAAGACAAAGATGTTAAGGGAAACAGACTGAAAGCGAACTCTGGATCTCACAATCATCAGACTGTACCGGACACCCAACTTTAATCCTTTTCCTTCCCATTTTCTTATAAGAATAATATGGAAAGGGAACGTAGATTTGACAGAAGACGCATAGATAGGTAGAGGAAATATCCTCTTTATGTGCGTTTATGGGTAGCGGTCGCTTCGTCATTTTGGCGGATTTAGGTGACTTACTCGTTTGCCACCTTATAATATAAAAAAGATAGTACGCGAAATTACTTCCACTTCACGCTTATCTTCTGTATGGTCGTAGTATTTTACTAATTACCTGCAAGTTGCTGGTCTCTACCACTGTCATGTCAGGTTTTTATGATTAAAATCGATTGTTAACAAAACGACTTAACAGATGGCGTTAAAGTCAAGATAAATCACGCTAACGTTGAATTATTTTAGACGAATTTAATTTATATTTAACGTTACACGTTACGTGTAGTAAAGGAAATAAGTTAAAAAAGTGTATTACCTTTGTTAGAATAATCAGAGGCTTGCATCTCGTTTTTGAGAGCGTATATGTTAGGCTTGACGTCCTGCACGTCGCCGCCGCTCAAGTCCTCAGCTTTATCATGACTACTGCTACCCCCGTAACCGTTCATCATCGTAGGACGACTGTACAAACATAGATTTAAGATATTAATGATAACATAGCTTTATAATGGTGAAAGAATTTCTGAAATCGGCCAAGTAGTTTTGGGTTATTTTAAAACATACAAAAACATAAATCTTTCCTCTTTATAATATAAGTATAGATTGTTCAGGTTTCTTTCAATGCGCCTAATTTGGACTTATCAGTCTAAATTAAGGCTCCTACATGCTTTAGCATTATCCAAAATAAAATTTTGAGTAGTGAAACAAGGAATACATTTCTTGAGAATTCGATAAGCAGATTTTAATCAGAAATAACATTTTTTTTATAACATATGGTGGCAAACGAGCAAGCGGCCACCTGAATCCGCCAAAATGGCGAAGCGACCACTGCCCATAGACATCCGCAATTGCAGATGCGTTGCCTACCGTTATTCGACAGGGGAGGAGAAGCACATAAAAAGGATATTTCCGCTTCCTATGCATCTCCTCCTCCGTCAAATCCACTTCTTCTTCCCATCCTCTCCTTATAAGAAAAGAGTGCTAAAGAAAAAGGGATTTAAATTAGGCCTCCGGCACCACACTCATCAGACGAAACACGGAATTGCTGTCATTTGACGCCTGTCTTCTGTGTGGTGGTGGTATTACTGGGGGCGTGCCCTGCAGTGCTAACATGTTAAAGCGGGCACTACCACTGTTAAAATGTTTCAATGTAGGTTAAAATACTTAATGTTCTCTTGGTTTCCTTCAGAGTTAAAATATTATAAACAGTCGTTAGTACCTGTAATCATCGTGGGAAGAGGGATATTCCTCTGGCTGCATCATATGGTCCTCGCCAGAAATGTAGGACAGGTTGCAATCTTCCATCATGCCCTGACAAAAAAATTAGAAAAAATTAGTACTAATCGAAATAAATATGTTGTAATTAATAAGAATAGCAATAAAAACTTTTTATGAATCGAAAATTAAATTAATTCGAATACCTATATGGTTCAATTTAAGATTTTTTGAAAATCAAAAAAGTTTTTCAAAAATTTTTTTGTGATAAAATGATTTTTAGATGATCGAGAATTTACTTAAAAACACAGAATTTTCATTTAAATTTTATACAACAAAGCAACTTGTTACGTATTTACCTGAAGATTACGTTTCAACGCCTCGCTATAGCCGTGAGGGCTCGACATCATTGGAGGGCTTTGAGCGCCCATGAATCTGCCAAATTATTTAACTAATAAAAAACCGATATTACATAAAAAATACATCATTTTAAACTCTGGGTAATCTATTGGAGGATTTAAAAAATATACAAAGAGACATTTTTTTCACATGTGTTTTATAAAAATTAAAATCATACCCCAGAATTCTTCTGTTTGTAAAAAATAAATAGTGTATTTTGTTGTGTTATTTGTATAGTGTCGAATTTGGTTTATAAAAATATCCAATTAAGAATGTAAAGGAGTTTAAAGTTGTATCGTGTTTGAAAAAAAGATAAAAAAGGTAAATAGAATAAAAAGGCAAGCAGATAAAGATATAAAAAGTTCAACATGCGACAAATGCAAGACCGAAGCATAAAAAGCGGGACTCACCTGAAGATGGGAATTTACATGCAAAAGATAAAGTTTTGGGGAAAAGATAAATCTTTTAACTCTTACTTGGGTGTCCAACGACGATCCTTTTTACAATCTTTTTGCATGCAGTTTATAGTAAACAAACAATTTTGTTTATTTCATTTCACGTATCAAGTACAAATTAAAACATAACTTTTTTTACAATAGCAACATATTGTAAGCTACTATTAGAATTCGATATAACAGTGATGTTAAAACTATAGCAAAACAATTGGGTTATAGCTTCGCACTCTAGTAGTCTAGAATACTATGTACTTAGGTTTCTTAAACATTTTGAATACCACAAAATATACTTGACATTTACAAGATTTTGGAAAAAAACAAATTAAGTGGTTATTACTGATATGACCGATTATTCGACTTAAAAAAAATACAAGGGGCTTTGTCGATAAGTATAATATGGAAAAAATGACTCCGTTAAAGTTACATTCTCATGTTAATATTAGTGCTGTTATACTTTTTTACTTAATTTAAAGAAACTTAAGTACGAATAGTATCTTACTATATTATGTTATAATCACGTGTTCAACTAGTTACAATCTAACATAACATTTGAATATATTATCTAAGCTTTCACAATTATACACTTGACATTATGGTAGAAACATCGATCTAATTTAGAAAAACAAAACCAAAAATTATTCAAATTATATTCATGATTGATTTTTAACTTAAATCAATATAATTTTTGGTTTATTCCATATTTTTCACAGACATTTAAACTATTGGACACGATCGTCCAACGATTCTAATATGAACTTTAAAATGTATATTATTGATACTAAAATTTTAATTATAACAACAAAGTATTTGATAACAATTTTGATGGATTTGAAGGTTTGCACAATTTGATGAAATGTCCATTGAAATTTAGTCCCGATATAAGATTCGTTGGACGTTCGCGTTTGCTGCATCGTTGGGCCCTTACTGTTGGGTGGCGTTGGGCCCCTGCGAGGGTTCGTATTTCCGCGGCCGGCCCCTGCTCAGGTGCCGTCGCTTCACAAACTCCGCGTCGTCCACCATCCAGAACGAGCCGAAGTCGTCCTCGTAGCGGACGAAACATTTGTGCAGGGATAGGTTCGTCCGGATCGCATTCTACAATTCATCTCCCTTTAGCAAAACACTTAAAACTCGATTCGTAAATCGATCTGAAATTCAATAATCGATTAACTTTCATCCCAACAGATGTGCTCCAATCGTACGATGGAAGCACATCAAGATCGTCGTGGAGATCGAGTTAAAACCATGCAGGAATCGCCCAAGAAGAGATAAACCCCATAGGAATCGGAAGATAGGAGCGAGGTTAATAGGCAAGCGAGAAAAAACGTTATTCACCGTTCCGCTGAAAACCACGAACACACAATAAACGATACCTAAATACGATAACAAGACCCCACAACGTGCGGCGTCAACACGGCATTCATACAAAGTGCGCCAGTGGCAGTGGTGACGTCGCTTACAAATCATATACAATTCACTACACAAATAATTACGAAATTCAAAAATCTGAAACGAGATAAAAACGTTTATTTACACAATAAGAGTTAGGGCACAATGTCTAGATTAGATAGAAAATATTTAAAAGAGGAGATTAATAATGTTGGATCAAGTGTAGATGGAATGTGGAATAGAATAAATCGTTAGTGACAAGTGTGCGTAGAAAATTTATGTTGAAGAAAATTGTTCAGTGTATTCACATGTATGGTGTAGTTTAGTGTTGTGTTGTGTTTAGTTTACGTAGAGTAGTTTAGTGTATAGATTTATAGTTGAGTTTAGTGTATTCAGAGTAGTCTAGTGTATAAAATTATAGTTCAGTTTAGTGTATAGATTTATAGTCGAGTTTGATGTATTCAGAATAGTTTAGTGTATAAATTTATAAAGTTTAGTGTACATATAGTTCCAGTGTATAGAATCATAGTAGAATATCGTACATTTTGAGTAGGTTCAGTCGACTAATGATGGTTTGATAAAGTACCAGGAATATTTCCAGATCTTATTTTTTTTCTCATTAAATTTACTTACACACATACATTAAATAATGTAATGAAAGTGTGTACAGTATCATTGTGTAGTAAAGTAGCACATTAAAATGTGTGAAATGCGTCTGAATATTATGTAATTAGTAATGATTTCATAGGTTTAAACACGTGATAAAATGGTGCAAATGTGTACTCTGAAGACATAAAAATATTGTAAAATTGAGCAAGTGTATATAGTATTTGTTATGATAGAAAATTTGATATGTAAAAATTGAGTTCATTGAGATTGGCTGTTTAAAATAAGCCAAGTGTTCGATTTAAATGTGTTTAGTGCAAGTGTGTAGTGAGCAGTGTTCAGTAGTATGTTCATTGTGTAATTTGTACAATCAAGGCTTTGCTCAGTGTATCTATGCACAGTGTTATTGTGTGTAGTGAAAGTGTCATTTGTGGGTCCAGTGCATGTCGAAAGTTTGTTTATTTCCGTGTGAGTTTGTACAATGTCGGTGATTATTATTGTAAAAGTATATGTAAATTAGTGTAATTTTGTTATTATTGAAAATTGAACTGTGTTTGGTGTAAGTGTGTAATTGTATTTAGTATAAGTATGTCCTGTGTAAATGTATAATTGTGTTTAATGTAATTGTTTAATTGCGTTTGATGTAAGTATGTAACTATGTTTGGTATATGTAACCATATACTTAGTAAATATTATTGTGTTTGGTGTTAGTGTATAATTGTGTTTGGAGTAAATGTGTAATTGTGTTTGATGTAAGTATGTAACCGTGTTTCGTGTAAATGTAACTGTGTTTGGCGTAAATGTGTAACCGTGTTTGGTGTAAATGTGTTGTAGTCCCGCGTGGGGCCGTACCCCGCGTGCAGTGCGGGCGCGTGCGCGGCTCGCTGCGGCCGCCGCTTGTAGAACTCCACCTCGTCGACAGTCCACACAGCTCCCTTCACGTTCTCGACTCGCATGAAGCATTTGTGCAGCGACAAGTTGTGACGCACCGCGTTCTGTTTGTTCACGCTCTCTCATGTTTTTATTTTGTTCCCGATTATATTTTACGTATAGTTTAAGCCTAGCCTTATTTTTAAAAGGTTCTTATAGTTTTTCTCATCTGGTTACACTGTGACGCCTTTACTCTGTTTCATTACACAGAGTTGTATTGTTTATTATAAAAATTGAATTATTTTTTGTTGTCCTTATGTTGATTTCATTAGGCTAATTTAATTGATTAATTGGACAGCTTTACTAAATCTCATGAAGATAGTCTTTTATTTAACTATAACAATTTTAGTCATATCGAATATTGTTGATTTATTATTTTAGTACAAATATATAATTTTAAAACAATAATAATAACGTTTGAATGTAACTTAAAACCTGTATTTAGTAAAAAATAGCGTTACGAGTCCAAATAACATGTAAATTGGTTGAAAAACCACAGGTTACCTTATTTCCATCATATAATTACATATAGCATATTGAAAAAAATATTATTAACGTATAATGTTTATTTTGTCATTTTTAAATTATTATTTTTTAAAAATCTTACCTTCCAAGTAGCGGCATTTCGTCGGAAATAGCAAAATGTGCTTTGGAACCAGTTGTAGATTTCGTTCAATGTGAGTTGTTTGTCCGGAGATTCGATAATGGCCTGGAAAATATAATTTACTTGTAAGTATAGAAAAGAAGTTTTTTGAGAGTTTTCAATATGAGTAAATTAATTTTACATCTGAGAATGAACTTTATTAAGGTCACTTTAAAAAAATAATAGCAATTTTTTACAAAAGTTTTCGATATAACCTAAATTTATGGATTTACAAAACAAGACCATAGAAAAATTATGTGGAAAATGTTACTCAGTAAATATAAATAAATATTTCTGGAAAAAAAATGTTATTCATCACAAAATAAAGTAAAAACACATACCTGACGAATAAGCGAGGCGTAAGTAAACGGAGGCCGCACGTCCGCTGTCTTATAAAACTCGCGGTTGCGTTGTATCTCTGGAAAATACAATAAATCATAAATATCTTACTAATACTACAAATTCGTAAGTTTGGATTGACGGTTTGTTCGGCTTTCTAACCTAAAAGGCTGAACTGATCGGGATGAAATTTGGCATAAATGTAGAAGAGTCTGGAAGATCACATAGGTTACTTTCTTTATTTTTTTAATGCCACGCGGACGGAGTCGCAGACGAAAGCTATTAAAAGTTTAAATAGATCATTCTAGAATATAAGCGTTTACCTTGTTGAACATCTAATCCTGCTCTTTCGAGCATATAAGGCAGACCTTAGCAATAAAGATGGATATTTTAAAGTATGTAATATATCAATTACTTAAAAAAAAACAGATTTCATAGAAATATTGTGAAAACTTACCACCAGCGATGGCAACACCAGATTTATCGGAGACGCGCCGCCGCACGGGGCCGGGAGATGCGCCCTCACTTGCGCTACCTTTGAAATAAATTGTCCTATGTTGAATGAAAAAAATTACTAATATATGTGACAAACAACTAAATTAAAAAAAGTTAAGAGAAAAATACGTGAGCTTTTGATTTTGTATGTTGGTAATATACAATATTTTATTTGATACTAAAAACTCCGTCGAATTAAGAGTTCAAGATTCTTATCGTTAAAGACACGAATATTATATCTTTTTTATACGTCTCTGCCTCCGTCGATTAAAAGTATTGCATCTGTAACAGCGATCGCTTCGCTACTTTATCGAATTCAGATGTCTGTGCATTTGACTTAAAATGTGAAATCGTAAATAACGTAGTTTTAGTACTTTTCCCTTTCTACCCTTTTCTTCTTCTTAAATAAAGATATTCTTATTCTTATTCTTAATATCCTCTTTATGTGCGCTCAATTAAGGGTAGGCAACACATCTTCAATTGCGAAAGTCTATGAGCAGCGATCGCTTCGCGATTTTAGCGAATTCAACCAACTGCTCACCACCTACTGATACAAAAAAAACATACAAACGAAATGAGTACCTCTTTCTTTTGGGAAGTCGGTCAATAAGTAGGAGAAACACTAATTTGTGTAAAAAAGTATGAAGGGAATTTTTCAAACCGTGTGGCATTTTATGGTGTGTGTCTCTAGCGGCGTGCAGGTGCCGCATCATGGCGGCGAGGCGATCGCGCTCGCGCCGCAGCTGCAGCTCCAGCTGCGCCACTACCTGCATCTGCACGCGCGCCTGCGCCGCAGACCTGTCGTCCAGGGTATGAGCTGCCTCCAGGTGCCTGCAAGTGTCCAACTTCGTGCTTCAAACATACATCAAGAGACCTTATCCTAGTTCCGTAAGGCGCCGGGTTTTCGTCCTCTAATCTATCATCCGTCATCTCAGTCATTTTCTTCTTGGTCATTGTAGTGTATGGCCACACTGTTTACTTGTGTCAAGGCGTCATGCCAGCAAGTCAGTCGTATTGAGACACCAACGGAAGCGGACGTCTTAAGCATACAGTACATATAGCGACTGTTTACTGTTTCGCCTCGCAAGAGACAAGGTCAAATTTGTAGAACTGACCGCCAACCTTCGCTAGTCGGAGAGGCACTTTAAGAAGAAGAAGAAGACATATGGCGACGAGGAAAATGAATGGGAAAATACCAATAACACTTATATGATATCTAAATTGTTACACAACGGGAAACTTATAAAGTATGTTATAGTTGTTCTTTTAGAGAAAAAGGGAGATATGAAGTGTATGGCCACATTGTTTACTACTGTCATGGCGTCATGCCAGCAAGTCTGTCGTATCGTCGTTCCGACAGGAGTGGACGTCCCAAGCATACAGTACAGACATGTCACCTTTCAATTCATCTATCTCTTTCTAATTCTCCCTCTACCGGTGTACTACATTCATAACTAACGTCCTTCTTGTAACTTATAAATATTGGAATTAAATTATTTTAAAATGACATTTTGTGATACATGAGGTATGAGTGGGTTTTATGTGATATGGATAATTAGTGGATGAAGTAATACTGACTTGAGGAATGCTTGGTAATCATCAGCGAGAGCATCACATCCCGGCCACTTGCAGACTCCGCGACCGAACAACGGGTGCTCCTCCATTTCGCTGCCCCATAGCATCAGACCTGCAATTAGAATAAGGAATTTACTGTCAAATGTCTTATTTTTTATTATAAGGTAGCAAACGAGCGAGCGGCCACCTGCGTTCGCCGAGAAAGCGAAGAGATCGCAGATGCGTTGCCTATCCTTAATCGAAGAAGGAGACACATAAAGAGGATATTTCTTCCTATGCGTCTTCACCGTCAAATACACTTTCCCTTTTCATCCTTCCCATATAAGAAAATGGTGGAAAAGGATTAAAATTAGGCCTACTGCACCACTAATCAGACTATACGCGGAATTGCTTCCACTTCATGCCTATCTTGTGTGTGGTAGTGGTATTGCACCGAGCCGGCTGTGTGAATATATAAAAGCGGGCTCTATTGTTAAATAGTATCTGCTAGAAGATGAATAGAAGTTTTTTTTTAAATCAACATCTACAGACTGTTGGTCCGTACTCTTTTTTGCACGGTTTATATCTTTTTTTGTTGCGTAAGCCTTGTGCTACATTAATGGGTTCCTTTTATATTATTTTCTTTTCCCTACTTTTTTCTTTTGATAAATAGAAGATAGATGATATGAAGGAAATAAAACTTGACGAACAAGCCTCTAAGATTCGTGCTGTAAGGAGACTTAGGACAAAGAAGGCGGACCCCCAATAACTGGGGAAAGGCGAAGACAAAAGAAGAAGAAGATGACCTGGAGGTGCATTAGGTGGCACGGAGAGTGGGCCGTGCATCAGGTACTGGCGCTGCACCGCCTGCAGCTGCTGCACCAGCTGCTGCTGCTGCGCTCCGAGCTGCTGCTGCAGGGATCCTGTACAAGATGCTTCATTATTTGCTGTTGAATCAAAATCATAAAAAAAATATTTTATTGTTTACATTTGTCAAATTATCAATTGCAAATGTCAAAATTACCGTTACCATAATAATATTGCTTCCTTAATGTTGGTAGCTTGTAGTTTATGGTCGCTTTTCCGCATGAAAGTTTTTTTCAATTTATTTACCCCCCTAAGCTTAATATCGTGAAAATATATAGCCTAAAGCGTGACGTAAGTGTATGCTTTTTATTAAAGAAAGTGTTATTCCAAAAATATGCTGTAATTGCTGAGATTCTACGCCACAAAGTAGTGTGTGTTTACGCTTTATTATATTAAGTATAGATTGCACGAAATGAAGATGAAAGAATATAAATACGTTGTTTTATCCTCACCTGGAGAAGAGTCAGGTGGCTGCATATGCGACTGTGAGAGGAGGTTCAAGTTGATCTGGTCTTGCAGCCGAGATTGTTCCAGCTGCCTCTTCGCAGCCTCCGATGACATATGCTGTAACAAAATTAAATTTAAACCATCTAGATACCATATTTATCTACGAGTATACTAATACGATAAGAAGGAAAGATTTGAATTTTTGTATGTATTGAAATAACTCAAAAACTACTGGGCCAATTTCGAAAATTCTTTCACCATTAAAAAGCTACGTTATCAGTAAATAACATAGGCTATATTTTTTAATTTTACGCGAGCTACAGCTAGTTATTTGTATATTGTTATAAAAATACTTGGTGCTTCCAGTTTTTTTTGAGTACCTGTTTCTGCATATGATGTTGATGGAAGAGGCGTTGTTTCATGAGAGCCTGCAGCTGCGAGTGCTGGTCGAGGAGCTGCATTGCCAGCAGGTCCGGTGCCACCAGCGGCAATGGGGACCGAGGTCCCGCACCGCTGGATGGCGACACTGGCGCAGGGCTAGAGTGCGCTGACCCACCGGTAGGGGAAGTCGGGGCTGATGCCTGTACATTAATAGACCATTAGAAAAACCTAAAAGCTGGATAAAAGAGACAGCTGCTAACAGTATTCAAAGATGAAATGTTTGCTAATGCCCTAGATTTGTCGTTTGTAGAGAGTAGAATGAAATCAGTTACCCTGGCGAGTGAGAGGGGCTCATGGTCTCGCGGCGGCGAGGCTCGGCGTGGAGGGGAGCTGCGCCGCCGCCGGCGGGCCGGGTCGCCCCACCTGCCCGACTCCTCTCTAAAATACAGAAATAAGACGGTTACTACATCCTCTTTTCCTACCCAGGGCGATATCAATAGTATTGGGTGTCCAACTGCAAAAAAGGCAAGGGCCCGGATGCCCTACAACTCTTACATCACCATGTTAAGACAGCCCAGGTCCTAAGTTTGAGAATTAGTTAAAACAGGACTTACCGGTCCAGACAGCGGTCCAGCTCGAATGCGTTGAGTAGCGGCGGCTTGGCAGCACCGCCCGGGCTCGCGTTCAGTGCCGGCTCCGGACCCTGAGAATAGATTATACATCAAACAGGACCAGATTCAAGATTACTCCCCTGGAAATCGCCTGCCAGTGGCGTTGTATATACCACGGGAGAACAAATATCTCACATACCAGTAACATAACTAGTTAAGGGCGGATCCAGCTTTCGCACCAGGGGGATCACATAGTCGTGGTTAAGTCAAGAGCTTGACAAAATATGTAAATATATTTTGTCAAGCTCTTGACTAACCAGCTCAGACGGGGGGGGGGGGTCATGATTGTAACTAGTGTTAATACATTAATCTCATGCCAAAATATTTAACCATTCTGTAATATAACATTCGAATTTTCGAGAAGGATTTGTGTGCAGCAAGTCCAAGGACACAACCATCTTTGTATAACACATTGAAGTTCTCAACATACTTTTATTAAACGTATAGTCCGTCTCATTTCGTTGGTACGATGATTAAACATTTTCAAGTCGTTAATGTTTGTTTAGTTTAATAAAACAACAACTAGGCACGTAGCCGTTTGTTAAAATAAACCAACGAGTTTTGCACACATGTATGTACACTTAGTGCCAATTTTTATGACTTCGCTAGACAACACCAAAAAAAACTAACCTAAACATAAATATTGGAAGTTCCGTATCGTCATGCAAATACAACGAACCAAGATGTTGACTAAAAAAACTTCTAAAATCACAAGCAAATTAAGCATAATTTTTCCCTTTAGTAGATTTGATTCTTACAAATTTTGAACTTTACTTCACAATAATATGGTACACAATCCCGACAGAAAATTGAAAGAAAAAAAAATTTCCGTCTTAATTAAAACCTTATAAAACTTATCTAATATGAGGAAGTATATCATAAACCTTTGTTATGTTACGTAAATATTTAAAAAGCGGTCAACCCTTAATAATTACGTAAGTTTTGGCGTTCTTGCATTACATCTAAATTCACCAAAAAGGCGAAGCGACTGCTCACAGACATCAATTGCAGATGCGTTGCCTACCCTTAATTGACGAACACATAAAGAGGATAGTTCTCCTTCCTATGCGTCTCCACCATTAAATCTACTTTCCTATAAAAATTCTTTCATTATAAGTAAAAAGTGAAGGGATAGGGACTAATACTAGGCCTCCAGCACACATAACAGACTAAAACGGGGAATTGCTTATACTTAACTCCTGTCTTCTGTGTAGTCGTGGTATTATATTGAACTGGGCTATTAGTGCGACGATGTTAAAGCTGATTCTACCACTGTTAGAGCGGGCACACCTTTGACTGAACTATCGCAAAACTGTTGTGCGATTGTCGATTGTTTCGCTGCCAATACAACTGTTTTGCACAACTAAAAATCGAGTGTTATATCAATGCGTGATTAAAAAATTGTGTTTAGTTTCAGGTATGTACTTCTTAGTGTTTTTTTTTATAACAAAAGGTGGCAAATGAGCAAGCGGACACCCGAATCCGGCAAAATGGCGAAGCAACCGCTGCCCATAGACATCTGCAATTGCAGTTGCGTTGCCTACCCGTGTCCGACAGAGGAGGAGACACACATAAAGAGGATATTTCCCTTTCCTATGCTTCTCCTCCACCGTCAAATTCACTTCCCCTTCCCATCCTCTTATTATAAGAAAAAGGTTGGAAAAGAGAAAGGGACTTAAATTAGTTGGTGTTACAATTCGCAGCAAGGAACCCTGATCGCACTAATCGCGTGTTATTGCAATCGGCCCGCTAGCCCCGCAAATATGTTTACAAAATGAGGTCACCTAACACCGCCGGGAGATGTGTTTTGATAAATAACGTGTCGTTGTATAAACACTACGACGGTTATAACAAGTGTCCAATGTAAACTGCGTTATGTACATTATTTTTATATAACATCCTCATTTAATGATTGTATTCAATGCATTAGTGACGTCTGAGATTGTTTAGTCACCTAGCCGAGCTAGGCAAGGACTCTGCAGATTGTATCGGTTTTTCAATCGCGTCCTGATTTTAAACTTATGGAACTTTAGAATACCGATGAATGACCAATGAACTTGCTAAATATATTGTATTTGTCAAGGTGAAAATTCAGTCTTGGATTTGTAATAAAAACAAAAAAGTATAAAAAAGGCGTGAAATTATAAAAAAGACCATACAGAACACACATAAAGACCTAGAAAGAGATGGATTGCGTGAAAGGTGACATGATCAAGAAGGGAGTGACTGAGATGACCGATGATGGAGTTATTTGGAGGAAGAAAACCCGGTCCGCCGACCCTACGGGAGTAGGATAAGACAGGGGCGATAATGATTCCCGAACACATAGGTCTATTTTCTATGATATTAAATTAATCTATCATCTCCGATTAAAACCTAAATGTTAGAATGACTAAATTTTCCTAATAAATACAAACACATTTTACATACAGTATGTTCCTTTTTCATACGTTGCTCCTGCTTCAGATAGATATCTTGTGAGCCAGAGTGAAGGGCAACTTCATCCTGTATTTACAATTTCAAATAAGACTATGATAATCGTAGCTAAATCATTCGCTAGCAAGGCCCTTGTAAATCTACTAATACCTAATAACACTACACTAATACCCATGTAAACAAATACACTGTCTAGTATTAGAGAGTGGTCTAGTATTAATTTACAAGGAGAGTGGTAGCGACCTTCAGGAATGAGGAAACGATCCGGAGAGAGTACTAGTAGATTGTAAGTAATAAAATTATCGAAAAGTCCTAACTTTAGTCCCTTTTCCTTTATAAGAAAAGGATGAAAAGCAAAAGTGGATTTGACGGTGCAGGAGACGCATAGGAAGGGGAAATATCTCATTTAGGTTCGTCTCCTCCTCCGTCGATTAAGGGTAGCCAACGCCTCCGCTAGTTTGGTGGATTCAGGTGGCCTCTTGCTCTTTTGCCACCTTATGATATAAAAAAGTTATTAATGCTTCCGATGTAATACATTCATATTCTTAGCACCATTTTCAGCTCAATAAGCAATAAATCATTATGTCAGAAAGAGCACTCCATAGTTGGTAAGGTCACGTACTTACACCGCATACGTGATGTTTACCAATAACTAACTTATTGTTGTTTTAATTAATCAAAGTATAAGCATGAGGTCATGCTTTTTGCGAATCGAATGCCGTATATTGTTTTAAAAATTTAATCATTATAAACTAGCTGTTCCCGCGCGGCTTCATCCGCTTTAAAATATAAAAACTCTTATTGTTTAAAATTGTCAAATTCTCAATCGAAAATGTCAGAACTCAAATATACAATATACAAATGACAACGAAGGCCTTGGATATTGGATACCGTACCACGGCAATCTTCGTTTCTTGATGTTGGCAGATGTTTATGGTCCCTTTCCCACATGTTTTTTTCCAATTTATTTACGGCCTAAATTTTATAGTAAAATATATACCCAAAAGCGTCGTAAGTGTAGGGCTTTTTATTAAAGAATTATTCATAAATATGCTGTGATTGCTGACATCATACGCCACAAAGTAGTGTGGTTACGCATTATTATATTAGTACAGATAGATATAGATTACTAATTAAATTCGACGTCAGAATGCAATTTTTTTCATTCCAGACGTGGGCATAGAAATAGTGTATAGCCATCATCTCTGGCAAGTAAGTAAGACGCCAGTAAGCCTGTGTTCCCGTAAATTTAGACTAGTCTTAGGAGATATAATTCAATTGTTTCGGAACTAATGGACTCAGTGTGCAAATGATATTTACTGTTTTGTAGCAAACGTGTTTCAAGTTAATATCTTTTTTATTACCTGTCTCACAGCGTACAGCATGTCTTCTTTCTCTTTCTAAATTCTTCAACTGTTTTAACACTATTTAACGTTTGAAAAATTAACGCTCAGTTAATTTGAATTTACTTAACTATCAGTCGTAAATTTTAACGATATACTTATTTTTAAGTTAATAATTATTTGCATTCTTATTCAAAATTGGTTTAATTTAGTTTATTCTGAAAATGAATTTTTAATTGCAGTTGTTGTTTATTTTGTCGTCGTATTTGCTGAATAAAAAGTAGAGTGGGTAGAAATCAAATTTAAAATTTGATTAAATAGATTAATATTTTTAAAGGGATTTTTATTTTATTGAGATAAGAGTTTAATATAGAGAAAAACCTTCTTGGTAATTCAAAGTTTCCATTAGAATCTTACAAATACTAGATTACTCTATACTTTGAAATATCTAACGAGCTGTTGCCCGCGACTTCGTCCGCGTGGTATTAGAAAACATATAAATTACAAAAAGTTACGTATACCTCGGGAACCGGACATTTCTCGGGGATGAATCTTATCCCATGTGTACTCCAGACTTTGTTTTATATCTGTGCCAAATTTCAATAAGATATGTTGAACCGTTGCAGAATGATCGAGTAAACATTAAAAAACTAAATTAATGAATCTCATTAGAACCGTAACGAGTACGAGTAAAAAGTAGCCTATGTGTTCTTCCAGACTATGCTCTAAACCTGTGCCAAATTTCATAAAGATCCGTTCAGCCGTTTAGGCTACAAACGCTAATAAACACATCCATCCATCCATCTAAACTTTCGCATTTATAATATTAGTAAGAAGTAAGATAAACGATACCCCTACCATTTGAAAAAGCTGGCAAGTATAAATATTATATCCCTGGCTATTTGTTTTAAGCGCCATTAGGTTAAACGTTCAGGAGAGCCATTTAAAGTTTTCATTTTTAGAAAAAAAAAACATAAAAGCAAATCCTAAAAATAATTTCAATTGAAATATTTTCAGACCGGTTCCATATTAAAATTACTATAATTCTGCACATTTCATATTTTGAACTAGTTGTTCCCGTGCGGCTTCATCCGCATGAAATTATGAAAAATTTATTTTGTTGTTTACATTTGTCAAATTATCAATAGCAAATGTCAAAATGACATGACATGACAAACCTTGGCAATATTGCTACCTTGATGTGCGTGCAGCTTATGGTCTCTTTCCCACATTAGTGTTTTTTATCGGAAATA